TCAGTTTCAAATGAACTGTGTTTATTAGACAAACGCTTAACCAAAATGGGTAGGTTTTCCAAGTACAATCGGACGCAATGACGTTCACAAACATCCTTCAACTTAAAATGTCCGCATTTCTTTAGAGGATATGGTCAAACGCTGCTATTTTAACTTTGGAAGAGCAGCTAACAAAACTGTGATATCATTCATATGATGACTCAGCTCATAATCATAAATTTTGGCTCAGCGGTGCTCACCGTCCAACTTTGGAGCACAATCACGGTGTGGCTGTTCAGAAGCACGTTTATCCAGGGGAACGGAAACCCTTGACCAAGATTCACAGTAGGCTCGTAACAGAGCACGGAGCCACAATGAGCACCCTACATAATTAATCTTTATCCATGATTGTGGAAGATTCATCGTTTGCGTATCTTTCGTAAAATGTCGATAAAGGTTTCATTCAGATACCGAAGGAAAGGTCACTTCCAGAGTGACAGAAAACTTTTGGATACTCTGGAATACAAAAACTGCACAGCATTTTTACTAGGGAAAATTTCAGAAAAATGTGAGCCCCTATTTTGAAATCTCTTGGAGTGAGGGACAATATGGTATATAAAAAAGCTTATGATGTAAGATGACTTTTTAAGCATACTATGTCAGTGAATGCTTGATTTTGATGCAATTTTGGACCGAGTGAACAACATATCGAGTTTGGAATTTTGAACAGGTCATTCAACTAAATAATGTTCGTTAGGTTTGCACCAGTGAGGAAAAAAACGGATTTTGAATTCGAAACAAACGTAGATTAAGACTACCTCGTCCCAAGTTAAGACATCCAAGTTTCCAAGGCATAGTTCAAAAAATGTCTCGCTGGGTGTGTACTTGTAACGGAAATCATGCGGTAAAATAAAACACATTAGCTAGAAATGTGAATTTGGCGGAAAAAACTAGATGTGACGAAGGGGCCTAACTTGAGCGAAGGGTTAATCAAATGTTCTCAGGGATTGAAACGCAGCAATTTGCGAAGCGTCGATAGGGAATTGGGTCGGTACATGATAAAGAATGGAACTAACCTAGTTTGCGAATGTGTGCAGCACTCCACTTTTGCATAAGCTGCTTTAAAAGCTCGAAAATGCGCAAAAAGGGTGTTACCTTAGTAAAAAAAATCAGACTATTCTTGAAAAAACATAAGCACCATTGTAGCAAGAAACCAATCATGAAGAAATTGAGTTGGATCTTTAAGTGGTTTTGTGGTTATAAACGCCAGAACGTGAAGAAATATGGTCTTGTTGAAGCAGCACTATTTGATACATGGATCTATCATTGTGGTTAATACCGTCACCAGACCCCTACTTTGTTATCAACAGTGTTCGTACAAGACGGCAATCGATTTTCCACCAGTTGTGTGTGTCGTTTGTGTGAAAGCTGTAGATCGGCAACACAGCCTTACAAAAGCAACATGACGAATCGTACCGTATTCTCTTTGGAGGAATGACGATAAGGTATATCCACTATCTCAAACACTCCTCGTACGAGCTCCTGCAACTATCCCCAGAATCGTTTGATGCAAACGTTTGGGCAAGATGGTTTTTGCCGTGCCTAGCAAGTTTGGAAAGATATTTCATCTCAAGCAACCAAACTCATACAGAGTACCCCTATGGTGGACATTTGAAGACCATCGTTTCTTGCATCTGTGGTATATATACGGGTGTGTGAATTGATATGCATTTATGTTTGTATACGTATATGTGTATGTATTTATAGACTTGAGGAATCATCCAGATTCAACAGCCTACTAATTTCAGATCCTTTAAACCTACCATCACTCATAAATGTATTCTGAAAAAGCTTATCAGACTCGTTTTTGATGTTATAGATATAGTTTTAAAAGTAATCAAGATTAAGTTCCAAAAGATGGCTGAAGAGCTTTTGAATATTAATAATTGTTTCATTGCACTGGAACAGTTTCGCGCAAATTCACGCAGGACGTGCTAATACACGTTCTGTTTGCTAAACCGAAGGGTGACCGGATGATTGATGACACTCACTGAGTTTTAAAGCCGAAAGTCGGCAAAGTGTGGCATAATCTCCTCTAATTTACGTGCTGCCGGAAATATTTAGGTCTTCAAAAATATTCATTACGAAAAATATCTCGTTTAGGAACCACATTATTAAATGAAGTGGTGAAACTCTAATGTAACTTAACTCAAATGTCTCGTCATTTTTCTTGAGTTCCGTCCAAATCGACTACTGACAAAGTGTTGATTATTTCTGGCCTGTTGAAAAGTGAAGCCCCCACCTCAGTAATTAGTTTTTGATGAGCGCGTTGTTTAGATTAAATCTGTCTGCCTCGACGCGATTTTGTAGCGAAAATGAATCTTTAAATTTGTGAAATCTGTATTTGGTTTGGCTAACAATTCGAAGACAATGCCTTCCGGTGATGTGTATTGGTTCACAGTTCACATTGAGGAGTTTGGAAACATATGCATCCTTCAAGAAGGCTCGTTTTTCGGAGCTGATTTACCAAACGGTCAACTGGAAAATATAGCCCCTGTGGGTTCATCTAACCAGCTGCGAATCCTCCATTGTCCATTTTGGAACGCTCCTCATGGTATCCTTCGTGACTGCTCAGGAAGTAGGATATGTGGGCATCTGCGTTTCGATATTAATCGCCACATCGTAAGATGTAAGCTACCGTTTGTGTTTAATACACCTTACTCCGTTTTGCGTGGCATCTGTGCCAACATAATTTTAAAGAGAATATACCTTCCCCAAGTCCGTAGGTTTACCAAATTCAAATTGTTTACTGTGACAAAAAACCTTTATTTGCATCATGGGTGCTTTGATTGTGTGATTGGTCACTTCATTCCTTCTCTGAGTTGATCACTTTAGAGTACATTGGCTACTTCAGGTGCAGCATAGTTTCAGCATGAATTACCAAGTCACTTCTTCCATCTTTTTTGGGTTTTCCCACTATTACGCTTCCGAATTCGATGCTTTGTCTGTTTGAAATACTTGTGGAAGTTTTATTCTACCTTATCCTAATAAACCGAAAAAAACTGCTGCACTAAAAACCAATACATTTCCGAGGGTCTCATGGAGCAAACGGCGGTTTCGGAAGCGTTGATGGAAACAGAGTTAGCGCAGGTGGTACAGACAATGGAGAATGTCTGACCAAGGAATCTAGAGACTTCTTTGCAATGTACCGGTAACTAATACCATTTTGTCTGACGATGTTCTTTTACTCCAAATTTCTGACTGCCTGCAACAGTCCGATCTCTGGAACACAGCTGAAGTTACAAACAAAGTAACACACAATCGAATAACTGGTTATCCTGTTGTTTTCCTTAAATATTCAAGATTTGATCCAACCCGTCAACACTAGTTGACATTGTACCGACTTCCTCAATAGCCATGTCCGTGTCCGTAACTCCAGAACCCTACAATTTTCTTTTAGCTTTGGTGCCGCTTTTATTCTCCTTTAAATTATTTGTTCCATCCAGTCCAGTTCTCCTAGAGATCCTAGAAGGCCAGACGTTTTATGAGCACGTTCAAAACATATACCTGTATTCTTGTGTGCACCGATAGTGTGGGTGGATAAAAAGGAGATTTTCGAGGCGCACTGTTTCGGGTCACTGGTGATAAGTGAGTTAGAGAATGGTCTAGTTCGAACCGCATTTATCCGTTCGTAACCTCACAAGTCGCCAAAACCATTTAGGTTGTTGGCCTAAATGGAATCAGCTGTCAGTGATCAAAAAGGTGCACCTGCCATTATGTATTTTTAGTTCTCCCTATAGCAATTCCCAATGGCCCATTGAAATCAATATTGTGAACTCAAACTCCCTCCCATATCGCTTGCGTAATTCGATGGAACCACTCAGTTGAGTAGCATGCCGCGAAATTGTACAATCTCATGTGATTGTGACATACTGTTCTAAATCACATACATGTTCTAAATCTTTTGTTAGGGTTCGGTTTTGGCACAACTGAAATTCTGAAATAGCCTTATTGACTTTGTACGGCGCATCTGATTTTGCACTTATTCCGAATTGAGCCAACGAATTCTCACATTGTTCATCCTCTACCCTGCACCTCGTGGAGGTCATGTGCAGGTCAACTCATGGATTGCTGAACTCTCATATAAATTATCTACTACTTAATTTGACATTCTAGTGGAGGCCGCCAAGCTAACTCGTCAGGCAGCTGATGCCTTGCTAAAGAGTAAGTGGTATTCCAAAGCCAAGTGCGTGATGACCAAACCGAATCGAACAAAGTCTGGTGCGCGTATTGTAGCTCTGCGATTCACTAGTTGGTTTACTTCCAAGTTAGTTTCTCTCGAATGCAGGACAACTCCGTCTATCCAATTAGACGTAATACACAAATATGGATGGGAATATTTTACACGCTACTTTATTTTCTGTCGGATGCAAACTCATACAGTGTATTTGTTTTTTAAATCATACAGTTGTTCGGAAAACCTAAATCGTTTCACCTTGAATCAGGAGACGAAATGAAACATTTATGGAGAATTTGTTATATATGTTGAGGGCAGCAACTGAAGTTCAACGGTAAAGAGCCCTTCTACACAAAACGGCTTAAATTTCAACTACGAGGTAGCAGCTGGTGGCACTAAAGCAGAAAAGACAATAAGACCATCACAAAAATTCATTGAACCGATTGTGTTTCCTAAGAGTTATTTGGACGAAGTGAGTTAAAAATTTGGTGTCTTATTTATTTTCCATGGAAACCTATGGAAATAATAGGAAATTCTTCATGTGGAAGAGGAAGGGTTCTAGCCGAATACGTCGCCTGTTAGCTTGGAAGCAGCGTATGGTATACTGAGTACTATATTTGATATTCCTAGCAGCCGGTCAATCAAATCATATAGTGGACAAGGTGTGAAGAGACAGGGAAGTAGAACCCCCTTGTGCCCAACTAGACCTAATGCCGTTAGTTGTCCAAAAAACAAAACTATATGTATACTGTTGTATTTGTCAGGCTTAGTAGTTCCATTGCAGACGTCTCCTCATAGAAAGTTTGAACGACGAACAAACACGGCAGCAGAGGAGAGAGTATTCCGCAACGCAGCCAACAACACGATCACCTTCAAAAACAGATCGGCTATGGTGAATTCACATAGACCTTCATCGATGCTGTGGTTAACCGCAAGGTCCATATTATATCATGATCCTTCTGTTGTACCCATTTGCCTATTACTTGACGCAACCAATCCAAATAAATATCTAGCTCTTCTTTCCACGTGATAAATGCTGAGGTGAGAGTGATACTGACACATCAGCCATCCTAAAATAACCGCAAGCAAAACATTAGAGGTTAGTAGGTCCGGGGATCATCAACAGAATAGTAACCAGTTCATTCGTTGAAATATATCCGCAACAAACCGAATTTCGTCAGCTGGGATCATCAACAGAAATAGTAACCAGTCATTCGTTGAAATATATCCGCAACAAACCGAATTTCGTCAGCTTCCCTCAAGAAAGATTTTTTTGAACCGTTTCCAAAGCGGCCTTCCTTAGATATTACGCAAGCTGGTTCACAGTATGTCAACTTCTAATAATAAACTTGGCTCAGAAATGTTTGACATTTACTTTCCTACGCTCCAATAACTTCTGTGAACCATCGCTAGTTGACAGGGCTCTGCTGTTTACAGTCGTAAAAAGAACTTACTAATGTTCATAGTTATTGATTCTCAGACTGGTGGGGGCATACACCGAAAGTTTAGCACCGATAGTCTACGGTAGATAGTTCGCCAAAAATAGATGATGTTCGGTCGACTGACAAAATAATCCGGTTAATTACACGCCATTTGGCTAGTCTATTTTCACTTACGCAGTGAAATCCGCAGTTCTGTGGATAGGGACGAACTGAATTCTTGATAGAAAACAATGCGTAGAAAACCTTTATCTCCGTATACGCCAAGTAGTCATCGAATTAGAAATTAGGGTTTTTAATGGTTCGAGAACGTGGGTTGGCATTTGTTGCCAGATAAGGTGGGTACAATATTCATCGGGATGTTGGCCTGGAGGTTTGAACAAGTAAATGTTGAAAAACCTAGGTAGTTTGTTCCGGGAAAGTTATTTCAAATTTATTCACTCGGATTCAACTGCCTGATATCCAGGTCCATATTTCACACTGTCAACCCAAATGCATAGCACTTGTCGATGTCACTTGTGAGTACAAAACTCGTGATTTCCGGCGTTGCAGTTGGCGCCGGCATTGGGAAAAACATGACCGTTGGTGAATAAGTACAATTATTGTAAGCTGTTTGCACTAACCCAAAATAACTTGATGAATGTCCGGCTAGATACCTGGAATTTGTCGGTTGAGCAGCGGTGGATGGTTTTTGTGTATCAAACGAAATCGCGCAGGTAATGTCACGTCAATTTGTCATGAAACGTTCTTGGTTGAACTGTCGACCTCAGTAATAAAAGTGGCCGTAGAGGCCACGCCTAATCGAATTGTCCATTGAAAGATGAATGTGTTGGCATACACCGTTGTAAAGGGAAAATCCTTTTCAGGAAACCCAGGTGTCCAGCTTGGCTGCTATTTTCGTTCAAAGTAACATGTACTTACAATAGCTGCCGAAGATTTGTCAGCCAGTCCTTGGGGATTCACAAATAATTATCAAAACATACTTGGTAAGCAAGAATACTTAGTCAGTGTCAGTGTCATAAAGTGCGATGTGTGCCTTTCCCTAGACAATATTCTAGTTTGACTAAGAAATGCAGCTGTGAAGAAAATTCCTTTCGTGCGTGCGTGCCCACCCATTGAATGAGTTTCAATAAAGATGAGATGCTTCATAGGGTGGAATTTATCCGGGACAAAATCCGTCTTACCAGAAAGTAACTGTCGGTTTTCCGGTCTTCACACCACGTATGTTTTGTTGAAAGCTCCTTCAACTGATTAAATGATTTGTCAGCTTGCAGGTCCCGATGGTTTGCATGGTATGTAATCGATATTATTTATGTTTACGGTGACGAAAATCCACGACTTGTGATACGTGGCTGTGCGGGCAGCTGTGCAAACAACTGTCAGGTCAATCGTCCTGTGCCCTAGTGTTAAAGCGATCAATTTGACGCTAGAACCATTGCAGTAAATACCATTTCATTAAACAATTTACCTTTTGACCATACCACACACTGGAACTCCGCCTTACGATGGTTCCCTAATCCAAGTGGATTCCAACAGAGATTAGGTGCTGGAGACTGAGGTGGGTCAACTAAGGGTTGCACAATCTACCTCAGTATAAAAACCCGAGGATTGTCAGCATCGAGGCCTATGGATTTTCAAGTACCATGGATTAAATGCTCTTGGAACACCCCCATAAGTAGGTATTGAAAGCCACTGGTATTCGATTTGATGTCATATGGGAAGCACATTTTTTATCATTTGGAATGGGCGGAACAGTAGAAACAAGGGATTCCTATTTTTGCATGCATTTTTCAGCAATACAGTGAAAACAAGCAGCACAGTGTAAGTTCAAGCCTACAGGTTAAAATTCAGATCTATTTAGTGTAGCAGTCTAGTTTAGTTGACGCGCAGAACAAGTTGAAAACGATAAATTAGCATTCTCACCATAGCAACATCCAGCCAAATTGTTGATAAATACTCTTATACCCGTCGAATCCGTTTTTATTGAACGTGATTTGAAGTCTATTGTGATCCCGAATCTTCCACACTTTATAGTTAGTATCCGTTTCAAAATATGGAATTATCTGGAATATCATACGTTCCCGCAAAAATTTCCATTACCAAGCCTGAATATTTTGTGTTCCAAAATGTCCAGAGTGTTATAGTTAATTTTTAAGCTATCCGTTAAAACTTATCAGGACTGAATAAGAGCAGCCATCAGCAGCGGATAAAGGACAAGTACACTTTTATGAAGGCGTTTTTGGACAGCAGCTTTCTTTTCTAGTGAATGACAGGCTATTTTTCCTGTTGAAAATTCTCCGTGCATTTGCGAACGACAGTAAACATTTCGACCGGTTTCACCATTCTTGTGACTCATCAGGTATGTACAGTCCGTGTTCAGCTTGAGCCAAAACCCACTCAAATATGGTGCAACCTTTGTGCAGCACATTAAGTTGAGAAATATCAAAGTCACCCGTGAAAACCCAAATGAGATGCACATGTGTGTATTTGTCGAGATCTGTCCAGTTTGGGTTCAAATAGAACATACGTTTGATGGAAACTCAGGGACTGCGCCTACCTAATGAGCCTCAAAGAGGACAGAACCGGTCGTGGGCAGCCAAAGAGTTTTCGGCAACTATGTGAGTAATCTCTTTCATAGGAATATATAGAGATATGTTGAATGTCGCATCAAATGTAACATTAGGCGGCCTTTGTGCACAACACTCAGTGAACTATATCGTAAAGGAGATATTCAACTGAGTCTCCTCTGAAAACCAAGCTGATATGATAATGAGTATTTTTGGCAATAGAAATCCTCCTTCCGTGTATGTTTTGGTCAATGGAATCACTATCTGTACTTTAAATTCCTCTCAATGTGGGCAGCGTGAGCTGCATAGTACCCCACCGGTACATCGCAAACGTTTGCTTTTTAATCATTCTACAAGGAGAGAGCCAAACTAATCCGGAATTTTCTGCGGCCAAGTAACTACCCTGAGTGCTTCGACGGGAAAACACCGGTTCACGGAACAAACCAGAGACGCAGATTAGAGAATTAGACAAGTGCATTTAGGGTGACGTCCTGGAACTGGCCATCAAGCTTCATCATACAGCGCTTTGCTCTGTCGGAGTTAAAACAAGGGACAGTTGGGAATGAAGTCATCAGCTTTGACTGAAGTTAATCGTAGTTGAAGCAGCAGATCTCCATCATCACACGCTTGGCCGATAGTCAGCCGTGATGATGAAATGATTCTGTAAAGAGAGAGAAGAAAGTGAAATGGTGTGTACTTGGTTAAACAGGCTTATGTTTCTGTAGAAAACGATTAATGATGAAATGATTAGAACCTTGCAGCAGCAGCTACTTAGGGCTATCTGAACATCTTATCTAAGTAAGCTGCAATTATCTAGCTTGCACCAATGTCCGTTGTGGACCGGATCTTAGCACACACAAACAAACTTCACTTGCACACTCCGGCTACATATTGGGCAATTTGACAAAGAAAACGTACAGAGAGAGTAAGTCACTGGCACAGGTGAAAACGACGACATCACTTGAATCTACGGGTCACGGTCCTCGCCAATTTGTTCGTGGTGGCGTATTAAGGTGGAAATAATAGGAAACGCAAAAGGCGACCAGTAGAAGATGTCGCAAAAGATACCTACCGGTAAGGTTGACAATCAATCACCCCTCATTGATTCATCGGTCGCTTGGAGTCAGACGGATACAGAACACACAGCTAGATATCCCATATCATAACACAAAGCAAACGCCTTTTGGTGGACAAGCGTTCATCAACAACTAATTTTTTAATGCTTCTTGACAAAATGAACGCATTTCCAGTGAGAAGGTTAATCCCACTTTTTTCCACACTCTTTTACTTTACCCTTTTGTATTTTGGTCGACAAATAATTTTACACTCCCTACGGCTTCTCAAGTTTTAAGCTTTGTCGGTGCGGCACCGCTTGCTTAATCCCCCACCCCCAACCTGACCGAATCTTTTGTTATTAGTTCCACACATACAATGGATTACGGAGGTGAATTTAAGTGAGGACTGTGAAGATTAGTTGTAAATCCTATATGCCGGTAAGAGCCCTATTCTCATTAATACCATTTACTCTTAGGTGCCATATTTCACAGTGTAAAATACCCTCAAGTGTAATCCACGCAAAGGAACGAATTAAACAAACCCAAAACAACCTAATTACATCCCTACGAGAAACAAAGCGATAAGAATACATTTTGCCACCCGACCAGGTAAAATAGTCACCACTTACGCAGGATACATCTCATTTGAAGGCAAGTGCTCCATCCACAAACGAATGAACGTGTCCTTCATTAATAGGCTTCATCCTTTGATATCATGACGTTTCTGAATGCGAACTAAAGTTGCTGGAATTGCCAAACTACTGTTCATCATTTTAATGCAAGAAACGACATCGTTTGTATTTAGTTGTCTACTTTTTTCACGTGTATTTA